ATTTACAGTGGAGATGTGGCTGAGGCTAAGTTCCCCTTGAAATTTGGGTGGGTAACAGGTGGTTACTAGGATAATTATACCCTGTGGATTTGGTGACACCATTAGATGGTGACTCCTTTAAAAGCAGGCTTTTTCCCCTGTAATTTCTGGTTTATTTATGTTAAAGTATAGTTGATATACATTATTCCATTATTTTAAATTTTATATAATTTCAGATTCATTAAGGTGCGTTTTATGTCCCAGGATCTGTAATAGTAATTGAATTATTAGTTGAAAATGTATATACTTTAGAATTGATCAACAAATAAGTCAGTAACCATCTGTCACCTTTCAAAGTTATCATAATACTATTGACCATATTCCCTGTGCTGTACATTAAATTCCTGTGACTTAATTATATAACTGGAAGCCTGTACTTATTCCTCTTCATCTTTTCCACCCATTCCTCTGCCCCTCATTTCTCTGGCAGTCATCAGTTTGTTCTCTGTATCTCTGAGTTTGTTTCTGTTTTGTTTTGTTTGTTGATTGGTTTTGTTCTTTTTAGATTCCCCACATAAGTGAAATTATATGATATTTGTCTTTGCAAAACACTTTTGAGTTCCATCTGTGCGTTATGATTATAATACCTATCCTCCTAAAATATTCCCTACTGAGCAGGAAAACTCCTAAACAATAATTCATGAATTTAAATTAAAATAAATATCTTTGCCACTTCAAATTTGGCTGCAGAAAATGGGACTTCATGGTTTTTACTCAGCACAATTAGATTATATGACCCAGTGTAAATTAAACAGGGCATTCAAGGATTGAAAGGTGTTATAAGAAACCTTTTAGGAAGGCTTGATTGTCTCCCGTTATCCTTTGAAGAGCTGCACTTGATACTGGAAAGAAAGAATGAGGCCTCATAGTGGATTCTCTCAACCCTGAGGTTGTGCTCACACCAAATAAACCCCTGTGCCCAGAACCCAACCTTACTGAATTTACTGACTATCCACTCAGCAGCGGGTACACATTTTGTAGGTAAGTCTGTTCTGTGTAGTGTCTGTTTCAACAGTCTCTCAGCTGCACTGGGGCTTCACTTTGAAGGGACATCATTCACCTTTACCTGGTTACCTGCAGGTGACAGGACATACAGTCTCTGCAGGCAGGATCAGAACCGCGTTTACCTTGCTCCTGGGGAGCAGGTATGACATGACATTCATGACATCCTCCTTTGTGGACATTCATTTGACATATCTAAAAAAAGTGGATGGCTCACTCCCTGAAACATAGGAGGCCCTGAGTCCTTGGTGACTTTAAAAAATTACTTTAATAAATACAATGCCACAACATTCCTGACAACATGATGAAATAGCTATAGTATCTCTCAGCAACCAGAACATTGTGTACGTTTTGTGTGTTTGGGGGGCCACATATTGCTTATTTACAAATTTTACTTGAGCTCACTACAGTGTTTCTTGCAAACTGCCCCACCTTCAATGAGTAGCCCTACCGTCGAAGATTCCAGGCTGTTAACATTGCTGTGCAGCAGGCACACCTGGTAGTGTCCTCGGAAACTCCTCTGTCATAAGGCTTCAGTGACCATCTCTTACATCTCTTGGGTGTGATATCTGTCTTGCTGTTTTGTTAGTTATTGTGAGTAGATGTTTTTCAATTTTACTAATTTTCACAAAGAACCTGCTTTTATTGTTTTATTTTTCTTCATTGATTTTACACAGTTACCTTGATTTCTTTTCTAGAAGTGTTATTTCTCTTTTAAATTAAATTTATTGGGGTGACATTGATTAATAAGATTATATAGTTTCTAGTGCACATGGTCTGTGTATTGCACTGTGTGCCCGCCGCCCAGAGTCAAATCATCTTCTCCCGCCATAGGTCCCCTTTATCTTTTACTTCCACCCCCAAACCCCTTCCCTCTGGTAACCACCATACTGTTGTCTCTGTCTATGAGTTTCAGTTTTATATCCCACATGTGAGTGAAATCATGTGATTCTTAGCTTTTTCTAACTGACTTATTTCACTTAGCATAGTATCCTCAGGGTCCATCCATGTTGTCACAAATGGCCGTATTTCATCTTTACTTACAGCTGAGTCGTATTCCATAGTGTATGTGTGTGTGTGTATATATATTCTTTAATTCTGCTTACTTGGGATTTAATAGACCTTCTTTTTACTTTTTGTAATTGGATGCCTATGTTAATAATTACAGATTTTTTTCCTAGTGTATTTGTTCAATGGCATGAATTACCCTTCAGACATTGCTGTTGTTGCAGCCCACAACCTATGATAAATTTTATTTGTATTTCATGTAGTTCCAAATAACTTTTTTTTCTCTTGGGAATTCTTCTTTGATTTCATATGTTATTGAGAACTTGTGCTGTTAAATGTTCACATAGTTGGGGGTTTTCCAACTATCATCCTGTTATTGATTCACAGATTAATGTCTTTGGTGTAAGACCATATTTTATATAATTTCTGTTCTTTCAGATTTGATAAGGTGTGTTTTATGTCCCAGGATCAGTTATGTTTTGGTGACTATTCCATGTGAACATGAGAAAAATGTGAATTCTGCTCTTATTGCATGAAGTATTTTATAAATTACAACTAAATCCATTTGTTGCATGGCCCTATTGAGTTCATCTCTGTCCTTGGGTGGTTTTATGCCTGCTGGAATTTATTATTCATGATGTGGGTTGTTGAAGTCCATAGCTGTAGTAGTGGATTCATCCATTTCTCCTTGCATTCTGTCAGTTTTGCCCATGTATTTTGCTTCTCTGTTGTTAGGCACATACACATGAAGATTGCTTTGCCTTCTTGCAGAATGGACCTCTATTACTATTTTAAATTTAAAATAAACTGTCCTCTATTATATTAATTGTTATAATAAATAAAAGAGATATTTTTTACATCTTAATTTATTCTCCTTCTAATTTACCACTTCATTATTACATTCTTTCTGATGAATATTATTTCTTTCAAAGTAGGTGTACTCATGACAAATTACTTCAATTTTTGAATGCTGCTGAAAGACCTTATTGTCCTTTATTTTTGAATGATAATTTCATTTGACACAGAATTCTGGAAGAGTGGTTGAAAAACACTTTAACTATTTTACTTTAATTTCTTTTTGCTTGAAACATTTCAGAAAAGAAATTTGATTTAATTCTTATCTTTGTTTCATGGTAACTAAGGCATTTTCCCCTCCCACTTTTTTCATTCAATATATCCTGTTTGCCTTTGATTTTTGCCTGGTTTTAAGTATTTGGTTGTCATCTTTAATGTTACTGAGCTCCCTGGCCAGACAGTTTGCGGTCTATTATAATTTTAGAAAAATCTTAGTGACCATAACTTCACTGATTTTTTTCTGTTCTTTCAAACACATCCCCCTTCCTTCCCCTTGTGCACCACATCTTTACAAGGTAATAAGAAAACCTTAGTGTGCCCTTTTGTAGCCACATGGGATTGAATCCACTCAAGCTCCTGCCCTTCTGTGTGAATTCTCACCCTCGTGTATTTCTAACCTCAAAAAAACAAGTCCATGAAGGTGTTTGTTTGTTTGTTTGTTTTTGTTTTTGTTCTCTCAAACTATTTCATGCTTGTTGGAGAGGACTGGCTTACTCTCTTCAGAGACTTCACCTGTAGAAGTAGTAAGTCCTTTTGTACGCCATTGGCCGTGTTTGCTGTCATCAGCTGAGGGGGTCCCATACTTGGGTTGAGCTATTTCTGTTCCTTTACTCCATGGGGAGAGGGTCGAGGGAGGGAGTGGGTTTGGAAATGAAACAAGAAGGGAGGGTATTCTCTAGAGTGGCTGATGAGGAAGAGCTTCCTTCTCATTGGGGAATAGAGATTTTATGTTCTTTTGAAGGAAAGCACAGCCGATACCTTTGTGTAACTTAGAGTCATGGGCAAACTCATCATCAAACCGTTGCGAATGTCAATGAACTCTCTTACATTCTGCAGCTTTGAACTTGTTCCTCAGTGTCACCAGGTCCCAAAATTGACTGTTACGGTTATGCTGCAGAGAGCACGCTGGCATGTTAGTGTCTAGTGTGTATGCCTGTGTGTGCCAAAAATGAGTGGGCAGCAGCCCTGATGCGCATGAGTATGGGGATTTTGTCGTCTAAGTTGTCCCGCCTTCTTCCTAAGACCTGAGCTCTAAGTTCCAAGAACTGAGTGTGTGATAAATTCTACACAAGGTAAAAAGCATAGCTTCCCCACAAGAATATTTTTATTCAGCCAGCCACCTCAGATTATAGGTGTTCCTTGGAGATATTACAGACCATTGCAATAAAGTGCATGAGTCAATAACCAATTGTACAGTTTGTTTTTGGTTTCCCAGTGTATAAAGAAGTTCTATTTACATAATACTTTAGTCTGTTGAGTGCACGATACCTTATGTCACCATATCAGTGTACATGCCTTAAATAAAAAATACTTTACTGCTAGAAAATGCTCACCATCATCTGAACCTTCAGGGAGTGGTAATTTAATGTTGGTGGAGAGTCTTATCTTCATATTGATGAAAATGCAATGTCTGCCAAGTGCAATAAATTGAAACTCAACAAACAAGTATTGGGGATAGAAAAAAGAGCTTCCAGTTTTTCACTATGTTTTTATTTAAACCTCATGCAGATGAGGTTTCATGAGGTGCTGTGAATAGGTAATGAGAGGAAGGAATTCTTTTCACAGGGAATTGATGATTTTTAAATAATAATATTTGTTTTATTTATGTAGCATTTCTGTCATTTCCCAGGATGCTCTGAACCTCACCATTAGAGAAAAATATGATGTAATGCAATCATAGAAAAAAGTGTTAATTTTTACTTGTTAATTGTAGTGTTAATTATATAAGGAATTAAGTGTTGATAGAGTAAATTTTTGATGATTAATTCATAGTATAAATCTTTGAAGATGATAGAATCACACATAAACTTTCTATAAATGGGGTCTAGGTGTCCAGTGCTGTCGGTCCCACAAATCATGTATTTGGGGTGTTTTAGGACTCTGTGGCCTTTGAAGATGTGGCTGTGAACTTCAGTCTGGAGGAGTGGACTTTACTGCATCCTTCACAGAAGAAACTCTACAGAGATGTGATGAGGGAAACCTTCAGGAACCTGGCCTCCTTAGGTAAGGATGACAGGTTACCTTCACTTCCTCAATTAGAGGGCAGATATTTCTTACTCTTCAACATTGTTCTGAGATGTGGGATATGGGAGGGGAGGACATGTAAATAAACTGGTCACAGTCACAGCTCGTCATAGATCTAGAAGCTAATGATTTTTCTGTAATTTCTAATACTTTGGAATGACTTCTCTGGGTCTGCATTATAGGTAAAAAATGGAAAGATGTTGTTATGGAAGACCAGTACAAAAACCAGGGGAGAAAACAAAGGTGAGTCACACAATAGAAAACAGGGTCTGACATAAAAATCCTGTTTTGTTACAAAATTTTAAAAAGAAGCAACCAAAGCAACCGCTGCTTCAATTACTTCTTGGAAATTTTCACCAAATTGCTTTCTTATTTATGACATAGATGTTCGCTTTTGCAAACTAGTTTAGATAGAAACAGCATTAAGAAACCCTCTGTGAATGTCACTATTTTGATAATAGCAAGGTAAAATTGTTTTTCAGACTTTTCAGTGTAGTCTATTTCAAACAATACTGATAAAGCAGAATATCTACAATTTTCCTACAAATTATAAAAATGTAGTTCAATTATTCTACTAATAAATATAAAATCAGTGATAAATAGCTAATGAACAATGTGCTTCTTGGTTTTTTTTTTTTGACAGAAGTCACATGGTAGAGAGATTCTGTAAAGGGGAAAAAAGTAACCAATGTGGAGAAAACTTCAGCTCTATTCCAAATCTCAGTGTGAAGAAGAAAACTCTTCCTGGAGTAAAACCCTGGGAATGCAGTGTGTCGGGGGAAATCCTCATGCATCACTCATCCCATAATGGGGATGTAAGATATCACACTGGATACAAGCCCTCTGAGTATCAGAAATATGGAGAGAAGCCATATAAATGTAACATATGTGGGAGAGCTTTCAGCTATCTTCAGTGTTTTGAAAAACATGAACAAAATCACAATGCTGAGAAACCATATAAATGTGTGGAATGCGGCAAAACCTTCATGCGGCTCAAAATCCTTCAAAGACACATGATCATACATACTATAGATGCTCCATATAAATGTAAGGTGTGTGCAAAAACCTTTAGTTCTCCAACTTCATTGCAAATATGTGAAAGAACACATGCAGGAGAGAAGCCCTATCGATGCCAACACTGTGGAAAAGCCTTCAGATGTTATAAAAGTTTTCAAAGACACGAAAGAAATCACACTGAAGAGAAACCCTATCAGTGTAAAAAATGTAATAAAGCATTCATGTATCCCAGTTATCTTCGAATACACGAAAGATCTCACACTGAAGAGAAACCCTATGAATGTAAGGAGTGTGAGAAGGCCTTCAAATCTTCCAGTTCCTTACAATCACATAAAAGGACTCACATAGGAGAGAAACCCTATGAATGCAAAGAATGTGGAAAAGCCTTCAGTATTTATAGGTCCTTACAAATACATGCAAGGTCACATACTGGAGAGAAACCTTATGAATGTAAACATTGTGGTAAAGCATTCAGCGCTCCCAATTATCTTCGAAAACATGAAAGAACTCATATTGCAGAAAAACCATATAAATGTAAGGAATGTGGGAAAGGCTTTAGGTTTTCTAATTCCTTGCAAACACATGAAAGGACTCACATGGGAGAGAAACCCTATGAATGTAAAGCATGTGGAAAAGCCTTCAGATCTTCTGGTAACTTACAAATACATGAAAGAACTCACACAGGAGAGAAACCCTACGTATGTACAAAATGCAGTAAAACATTCGGATATCCCAGTAATCTTCGAATACATGAAAGAATTCACAGTGGAGAGAGACCCTATGAATGTAAGGAGTGTGGAAAGGCCTTCATATCTTATAGTTCCTTACAAACGCACGAAAGGACTCACACTGGAGAGAAACCCTTTGAATGTAAACATTGTGGTAAAGCCTTCATTTCTCGAAAATCCCTGCAAAGACACATGAAAATGCATACTTGAAATACAGTTTTTCAATGTAAGGAATGTGGAAAAGCACTCACTTGCCTTCATCTGTATGAAAGGTATAAAAGATTTTCACACTGGAAAGAAACACTGTGAATGAAAACAATGTGGTAAAGCCTACATAGAATTGAGTTCCTTACAATGATATGAAAGAACTTATATTGGAAAAAAAACCTGTAAATGTTAGGTATGTGGAAAAGCTTTTATTTTTAACAAAATCCTTCAAAGTCACAAGGTGAGAGTGTACACAACTGAGAAAAATATATAAATGTGAGGCATGTGAGATAACCTTCAGTCATTTCTCTTCTGAAAGCATGAGAGGACTCGCTGGATCAAATCTCTTGAATGTAAATAGTGTAGGAAAGACTTAATTAGGCCTATATCCATACATATTAAACTTCATTCAGAAATATAAAAATGTAAATAACATAAGAAGGCTTGATGAAAATTAATTCATATATAATTTTCTAGAAAACTTTTGACGTTAAAGCATTGATAATAAAATTGTAAATTATGTGGGGGGCATATATAAGGGGATTAAATGGTAATAGAAAAAATACAATAATTTTTTAAATTGTAAATTATGTTTACCAAGCTTCTTTCTTTCCTTACTATCCAGTGAATCATTGTACAGCTTAAGCTGGTCCTCTGCATGGATAGATTCCCAATTTTTTATAGATATTTTAATCCCAGTATAAGTGGACCTATGCAATTCAAGCTTTTGTTGTTCAGTTTTGCTGTAATTACTTAATAAGTAATAAGTCCATTATATATAGCTTTCCTTTCTTACTGAATAAGCCTCCTTATTCCATTCTTATAAAAAGTTGAAGTAAATTTTATGTTTGTCAAGTTTATGAAAAGATAAAATTTCATTTGAGTTATTTTTAATTTTAAACTTTTGTTTTTTCTCTTGACTGGCATATAGTAAACAGTGGCTGATTTAGGAAGAGAGACCTGTGGACAAAATATCTAAGTTGGGGATATTCCCTCTTTTGAAAGTGTTAGAAAGTAGATTTTCCAAGATTCATTTTCTCTGCGGTTCCATATTAAAATTCATCAGTGGCCTCGCCTGCGTGTGATTGGCAGGCAGATGCAAAGATGGCATTAGCCAAACGTGGGAGCCGCCACCACACAGGAGGAGACAGAGACACAGGGGACTTCGAGGACACTGTCTTCCAGCTGATTTCTTACCCTTCAACTCTTAGGTTTTCATTTTCTTAGAGATGTGGTTTTCCTCTGATATCTTCACAAGATCTACATCAAAGATCTATCAGAGCGTGGATTAGTTTCAAGTCCTCTTGTGTCCACTGAGGAACTGATTCAGGCTTTTATGCTGGGAATGTTCTCTGACTTTCTTCTTCTCTGGGTCATATCAGTATAAAGTCGAATTTGCAATGGTGCCATCAGAAAGAAGGACCCAGGAATTTGTTTCTCTGCTGTGTGTGCAGCGGCTGCCTTGACCGGGCCCTTCTGTGTGAGAATCAGCACCTTCCTCCTGTCGGGAAGCTGTGGGTGTTTTCTGTCACTTGGAGCTGAATCATCCCTCAGTATGTTTCCAGTTGTGTGTGACTATGTGCAATTAAAACCATGTGCATATTTTTTCAAACTAACACGTAATTCAGTTGCTTCATAGAAATATTTTATTAACTGTTTTTTAAGCCATAGAATGCTAACAAATACTGTGCTTCCTGTGATAATATATTAACATGTTCCATTATAATTATGGAATTCCAGATGAAGTTTGCAATTTTCAATTTAATTATTATACATTATGAGACAATTTTATCATGTGCATGTAATTTCAGGTATTTTTTTCCTCAGGCAAAATTTATTTTTTATTCTTTTTTTAAATTCAATTCAATTAAAAAAAATTTAACCCTGACCTGTGTGGCCCAATTGGTTGGAGCATCATCCTGTGGCTGAAAAGTTGTGGGTTTGATCCGCAGTCAGGACGCATACGGGAGGCAGCTGATCGATGCTTCTTTCACACGTTGATGTTTTTCTTTCTCTTCCTTCCTCTCCTTCTAAAAGCAATGAAAAAAATTTAGTGTAAGCTCATGTGTAGGAGGGGTTTTATTCAAATGGGCACCACAAGTATTCTTTTGCTTTTTGTCTTTTGGTGTCAGTGTACATTGGTGAAAACTCACAAGTAACCTAAACTATTTTATATATGTATATTTAATTTAATATATACAAGGGGGGGCCCCCATAAAACTGGAATTATCTTCTGGAGGGCAGGCCTCTTATACTATAGGCTTCCCCCGCTGGGTGAGTGTTCTAGGAACCCGTCTGTGTCAGTGAACCAACTGGCATCATTGTGAGAGGCTGCGTTTGCCTTCAGTGAATTTGTTTTTGAAGACTCTTTCAGTGTGTTTGCCCATTTTATGATGGGTGATTTACGAGTGCACCTGGCGACACTGCACTGAGTTCAGCAGTTTTTGATAAAAAATGTCGCGATCCCTGTGCCCCACCTTCCCTAGTTGCCTGATCTCACCCCGAGAGACTGGTTTTTCTTGTTTCCCTGGATGATAAAAGTCCTCAAAGGGACACATCTCGCTGGTGTGGAAGAGGTGACACAAAAAATGGCAGAAGCACTAAAAGGTATCAAAATCAACAAGTTCAAAAACTGTTTTGAGCAGTGGAAGAAAAGTCTGGATAGGTGTACTGGATCAAATGGAGAGTACTTTGAAGGTGACTGAAGTTTAAACATGTAAGAATAAATACACAATTTTTAATAAATAAATTCCTTTGGGGGGGGCCCCCATATATATTAGAAACTGAATGATACATTGGCTTTTCTATGTTAGGAGAATGTTAAAATCTCCTGAGCCTTGATTTTTATATGTTCAGTTCTTTCCACCATTGCAGGATCCTTGTCAGGAAGAATTGAATAACTAGGGAAGAAGGACACAGGCACAAACAGGACTTTCTTGCAACTCTGTTGTAACTAAGAAAACACCCTCTAGGGTTGCACTGCCCTCGTGTTGTACACATAACTAGGAGTGAAGGGACAGGGCTCCTGGAATATGCCCAGGAGTTTAAACCCGGTTCCTTAGACAAGTCTCTGGATGCACTGTTTTTCAGAAACATAAAGATGTGTCTCACGCAGGCTCTGCCTGGGGACGTCCTCAGTCAAGTGCATCAGTGCCATTTTCTTTCATCACCTTCACAGACCAGCTCTGGCTTTTTGGTGTTTTGTGTTTTTTTTTTAATTGTTCGAGTACAGTTGTCTCCATTTTCCCTCTACCACTCCGCCTCCCCATCCCTGCTTCCCACCCTGGATCCTACCCTCTTTGGCTTTGTCCGTGTGTCCTTCATACAGGTTCCTTAACGGCCCTTCCCCTATTTCCCCCATTATCCCTCTCTCCTCCTCTCCAGTTACTGTCAGTTCTTTATTTTAATGTCTCTGGTTATATTTTGCTCACTTGTTTGCTTTGTTTAGTTTCCACTCATTGGTGAGATTATATGGTATTTGTCTTTTACCACCTGCCTTATTTCACTTAGCATATTCGCTCCTACTCTGTTCTAAATTGGAAACAATTTTAGAAATTCATACGTGTCCCGCTCTGAAAAATTTCTTTGAGGCCATACTAGGGGGCTGTGAGCTGAGAGAGTGACACAGCAGGTGTAGGACCTATATGATAGGCACATTCTGGTAGCTCACGACAATCGCAGCTCTGGTGTACTTAGTTAGAACTGCTTGCTTACTCATTGACACAGCACTTAAAAATGGACAGACTTTGAATTAAGAAACAAATGGTTCAAGAATTTGTCAAAGTAACAGTCACTCCATTTGGACTTCCCACATCTGTTTACCCGTAAATGCTGCATCAGCCTTATTTTATGCATTGAAGGTGCCTAAATCACCCAATGCATTCTTGTACCAGCAACTATTGTCCTCAGCTGGTGCTGCCCACAACTAGAGCACCTACCGCTGGAACTGGCAGAGCCCTTTTTAAACAGAGGCCTCCCAGGGCCTGAGTTGGTGACCCTCCACAGCCAGCTTCCTGTTTTGTCTTGGGTCATGAATGCAGGTTCCCTCAGGCTTTCTAACCCGATCCTTCCCACTAAACAGATATTGGTTACTTAAAGAATGGAGACAAAAATGTTTCCTCTGGTGTATCTCATCTACAGGAGCAAGTGTGTTCTCCTTTTTTCTGATTGATGCAATCCATTCTATAGAAGAGGTCTTCTTTTTAGACACATTGGCCATGTTGGGAGTCATTGTCACTTGGGAGCACATGTGTGAGAGAGCAGGGAGATAGATAGTAGTTTTATAGACAGTGTGCCCAACCATATCTGATGGCATTTATTCCATCATTTTGTCCCTATTTAAACAGGCTATTCCTGATCAAAGATTTGACCAAATTATTAGCTCAATTAATTTAGTGCAGTTGTGCCAGCACTAGACAATTGCCCGGGCAAGAATTGAATTACTCTGCCCAGTGTTACAGTTCCTTTGACCAGGACGATGACTTAGCTGCCATACTCCAACAATACCAACAGCTCCTTATTTGAGGTTGCCCCACTGACATGAGGAACTCTGGGAATATCTTGCCTCAATAGTACCCTAGCACAAAACAAATCAAGGTCACTCCTTACTCTGCGCATATTAAACCTCATTCTTAAGAGGCCCATTTCATTGCTCAGAGTGATAAATTGACTCCAATTTCTGAGACACAAACTGACACTGCATACCTAGTGGTATAAATCTTGACCCTGGGGCAAGTAATACAAACTATTCAGCGACCTCTAAAGTTCTAGGCAAAATTCAAGGGATATTTCTTCTCTGCTATGGCTGACTTAGTGATTAACCAATGTGGGAAAATGTGGGAAAATGTGTCCCGCTGATAATATATTCAATGCACATATTTTCCAGGCCAAGGAAGGGCAGCAAACAAACTTTGGCTGCAAACAGACTTTGTAAGACCTTTTACTTATCTGCTGGGCTTTTTGCTGTGATTGAACCATGTGTGATAGAAACTCATATAGACAAATTAGGTACGTATTCTATAATAATTCAGCACACTAGATATTATTGATATTATCAAAACATTTATCAAAACATTTTTAAAAACACTGCTCTCGTAAAAGGTATTCAGCAGAACTAGTACCTCCCTATAGACTCCTGGTTACAGTCCTCATAGGATGGCCTAGTGGCTTACTTAGACAAGCCCTGCCTTCTTTTACAGAATCTTGCTGCTGATGGTAGTATTAGTTCCATTCAACCCCCGGGCTTTGGGAGCTATTATGTTGTTCTGCTCATCAGGCTTACTGGCACCTTGTAAGTAGAGCCTTTGTTTCTTCGTTTAGTTATTTACTGTGACCAGCAGCATCTGTTCATTGGACAACTGCAGGTTCTCTCCCAATAG